AGCCTCATCTAGTCATCGCCGGAGGCATTCGTCCCCATGAAAGTCTCGTGGACTCCACCGTCCACATCCGATCCCAAGGGGTTCAACAATGGATAGGCTTGGGGTTGAGAGAGTTTTAGTCCATGACGACTATTAGAAGAGAGAGTGATAATTGGGGGATTCTCTCTGTAGTCGAGTCCTCACACCACCCCAATGCGCGATAGAGGTAGGAGGGAGGAAAACCAAAAGCACATTCATGTACGGAATTAAGTCAATTGAGATGTGAACAACCTCAAGAGGAGACTGGATGACTTGAGGAAAACCGTTGATGGTAGTGCGACATGCTTTTATGAAGTTCAAATACCAAAACCCTTTGTCGAAGGGTCATTGGAGGCTCCTCTACCTTGTGGTTATAAACCTTGTAAATTTTGAGGCCCGCTGAAGAAAGTCTGACCACACCACCATGTTTATAAGTACATGACATACATGGTAATGGTGGGCTATGAGGAATTGAGGACACCACCACCAGTTCCGTCAACTTGGACAAACAGCACGAGCATGGTATGATTCACTACTGGATTGAAGAGTTCAGTGTTTTCGAGAGCTGGCCCAGGCCTTCGTTGCTCGTTTGTGAGCTCAAAGGACTCAAAGAAGAATTTCTCCCACCTCTTATGGTGAACAGGGGATGCCAGGAGACCCTGACCACCTTTTCGCTCGTTTGAGGGGGGAATCAGTGAAGGTGGATGAGCTGGACGACGACATCGCGGTGGCAATATTCACCAACACATTATAGTGAGGTGAATAACATAAAGAGTTTTTATGCAAGGCACCTGCTTCCCACGAGGAGACCTTACGATGGGCTGGTCACCAAGCCGAGATCGAGGAGGCCGAAAAGAAACAATGGGAGGAAGAAGATGGAAAGCCCCAAGTCGCCGAAGAGAAGAAGAAAAAGGAAGATGACAAAAAGAAGAAGCCAATTACCGAGAGGAGAGTAATGGGTTAAAGAGGATGAAAAGGAGTTGGAATAAAGGAAAAACGAGCGCCCATAGTGGCCCATTTGTCGGCCATCCTGAATTCTATGCGCTGACTCATCTAGTCAGCAATGTATTGGATTATGTGGCCAAACAATGCCTGGTAACAATGCCTGACTCCTACAATGCAGTCGCAACCCGACCATGTTGGGAGTAGAACTGCAAACTTCATAAGAGTGACAACCATGACAATTATGAATGCTATGTGCTAAAGAAGTACGTGGAGAAACTCTTCTAGGTCGGGCAGTTGGGCAAGTTTGTGAAAAAGAACATCATTCCTCACTTTCCAAAAAAGCACGTAGGAACTAAGGAGAAGGATGAACAAGCTTTAACATCCAAAAAGCGTGAGGCGAGAATCATTTTGAGGATGAGAATGATGAGGATGAGGGCGGAAGACAAAAGCGAACATTAATCAGATCTACATAGGGACAATGACGGAGTGACTTGTCCGGAGAAAGGAAGAAATGGGGTCAAGAGCTATTCATTGGGCAAATCACCAAATCCTTGATGGATAATAGGGCGAAACGAGACCCAATATTCTCCCCCATCCTCGCCTCCACACAAGGACGCCACAAATTATTGAGTGCCAAGCATCAAATTCTACACAGGAATTCCAACGAATGATCGAAAGGAAAATATTCAAGATCTATCATTCATCTCATAACACAAGTTTGTTCAAGTTCTTCAACTACCCCGAAAGCTTCATCGACATATCTTTCAAGGAAAACCTTTTGAATGTTCAAAGGTCATCTTCTTGTAAAAGAAGGGCGTCAAAATAAAGTTGTGATGCTTCAAGCAAGGTCAGTGAAGCTAAGAAGGCCAGTCACCAGGAAAGATTTCATTTCGGATGACAATGACATTTTTTGATCATAAAAGAGCGACCATTATATTAAAATCGAGAACTCATACAAGAAATCTTCAGACAGAAATTACAGATCCAATCGTGAACCATAGGAGTAGACTTAGAGTCAGCCACCTCATACAAAGCAACATGACTCGCTAAACCTGAAAGGACAAATTTAGGCCCAAAACGATCAGAACCGAAACCCCGCCTATCAAAAGAACTCCAAATTAAAAACTCAAACATTCAAAGCAAATCTACTCGGACTAAAACAGAAACAAGTGCTATTAAAGAGAAAATAATTCTGAAATAAAATCTTTCCACAAAACTCTTCCTGATATGGAGGTGGTTGTGGAGGAGGACGAACTCTTACAATATGGTTGAATACCAACTCCACCACCATCGAAATGGCCAACCAAGACTTCACGATCCTGCCTCGATATAGTCTCCCAACCGCACCTCGTTCATCCGCCAAAGCTATCTCCTCCGACGTAATTGCAATCCCAAACATTAGAACACTTAAAAGTAGTATAATCTCTCGCTCCAAGCTCATAATGATAGAGGCGACCGAAATTTTCAAACCCCTACCAAGAGGAGTTGGTAGGGGTTGAAAATTATGTAGAGAGAACAAGATCCGTTCACACTCTTGTCATAAATTCGAATTATCGAGTGTTATGACAAGAACATTATTTCATAGCAGCATTGGTGACTTGTTTACTTTTATTTTAATTATAATATTTAAGGGAAAATGTACAAATATACCCTTCTAGTATGGATGTTGGAACAAATATACTCATGTTCTATTTTTTGGAACAAATATACCTCTGAAGTTTATGTAGAAGTGCATATATACCCTAAACTTTTAAAAGTGCAAAAATGCCTCTCATGTTCCTATAAAGGAGCAAATTTACCCTTATTGACTTTAAATATATAAAATAAATTTCTAAAAACACAAAAAAATAAATTATAAATTTGAAATTTAAAAATAAAATAAAAATAAAAAACTACTTGTGTCCAATTCTCCGTTTTATTAATTTTAGATCACCATTTAATATTGTTAGTATAAAATTTACTCTATATTTAAGATTCTTTCGGAAAAGTGTTAACATATGTGTTGCATTGTAAAAAATATATTAATTTCTCGTATTCTTTGCACTATAAAATTACATTTTTTGTATGATGATAAATAGTCCAAGATTACAAAATAGTAATTTTTTTATTAAGGTTAAATAAAATCAAAGAATGTTATTTAAAAAAAAAATTAACAATGTTCAAAATTTTGCAACAAGTCTAAAATTAATACTTATGAATTTCAAGTGCTTCATTCACAACGGAAAAATAATAATTTTTCTATTTAAAATTAAAGACTTAATATTTTAACATAAAAACAAATCTTTATTTCGAACTTTTTTATTTTTTATTTTTTAATTTAGAATGTATAATTTATTTTTAGAATGTATAAAGGATAAATTTGCTCCTTTATATGAATATGAGGGGTATTTTTTCACCTTTTAAGAGTTTAAGAGTATATATGCAGCTCCACATAAACTGTGAATATATTTGTTCCGAAAAATAGAACATGAGTATATTTGTTCTCACACTCACACTCATACCTTTTTGCTAATAATTAATAATTAATAATTAATTTCCCTGGATGGCATTAAAGGTTGGTTCGCAAACATTTTAAAAAAAGCAGTTATCGGCTTTTGGCTTTAAAAAACACTTCTTTTATCAAACACGGTAACTTTTATTTTTTTCGGTTTTCGTGTCAAAAATGTTTTTACTTTTTCTATTAAACAAAAACACTTATTGTTGAGGTTAATTCCTTCGACCCCTGGGCCCAACACATAAGCCCAAAAGGTCTCGAGTGGAAGAGGGTGTATGAATGTGTGAATATCTAGCCCAACAACTATCAGATGGATCAGGAAACAGAGGAAATAGCAGGCAATGTAAATAGGTATTATTAACTTCGTAATAACTCCCCTAAGTACAATCTACTTGCTAAAAAGGCACGTCGGCCGTTCGTCTCACTAGGCAGTAATCTGAGCTGCTAGTAAGAGAAATAAACTAGAATGCTAAGAATAGAAAGTCGCCAACCCTTTATAAGGAAATAAATGCTTCTATTTATACCCACCAATGGGCAGGTGGCTATGCTGACGTGGCAGCCTGTGGACCACTGGTGCCCCAACTACCAAATCTTCAGCATTAAATGCACTTCCCGCCAGAATCTAGGTTTCCCGCCTAATCAGTGGGGACGTTCGTCCGCCCGGGAAGTGAGTTGGATCGCTCCAAATGACCCTCAAGAGATACCTGCTGTTCGTCTCCTGGCCTTAATGGATATTCACCATGTGGACTGGGTTTCCTCCGATGACTATTGGCTTGCTCTGGAGACGTTCGTCGTCATTCCTGGTGGCCCGTGGTCCTGCTCCTTGTCCCTGCATAGACGTTCGTCGAGGTGAGCCGTTGGGTCTGAACCCCCCAACCCCAGACGTTCGTCCCTCCTCAAGGAACGTGGGCCTGCAGAATAGCCTTGTGTTCTAACTGGACGTGCGTCTGGTAAGAAGGGGTTAATGGGCCGGACCTCGGCTTGGGCCCTTAACCCAACACTTATTTTACCAAACACTACCAACTTTTACTTATCAAAATCGTTTTTTTCTTTTTATTTCATTAAGGGAAAAGGTGCAAATAGGCCCATGTACTAACCAAAAAAGGTCAGATAAACCCTTATTTAGGAGGTTCTGTCCGGCCGTCGCCATTTGGGGTGGTTCCTGGTGGAATTTTTTGATGAAATTTTTTGAGCATCTTATTCATCAAGTCTAGTTTACTCATACCAAATTTCAGCTAAAACTTCAATCAGGAAGGCATTCAAATGAATTCTTGAAGATAACTGCGCTTCCCGATAACTGTGCAGTTATTTTCAAGAATTCATTTGAATGTCTTCCCGATTGAAGTTTTAGCTGAAATTCGGTATGAGTAAACTAGACTTGATGAATAAGATGATCAAAAAATTTCATCAAAAAATTCCACCGAGAACCACCCCAAATGACGACGGCCGGACAGAAGCTCCTAAATAAGGGCTTATTTGACCTTTTTTGGTTAGTACATGGGCCTATTGGCACCTTTTCCCTTTCATTAAAAATAAGCAGAAGCTGTATGCTAATCACATGGCAAAGCAGTTTCACTTCTCAGATTCAAGGTCTCCTCCCCCATGACCACAAAACCCCGTGCTCTTTCGCCCAAACACCTCTGACCTCTCTTCTATAATAAAATCTATAAGCGAAAAACAAAAAAACTTCAGTCTATTTAGGTTGTACTGAACATAGATTATTGCTCGGTAAAGGGTTCTCACCTTTTAGCAAAAAACAGTGCACCGCACCGATAAGTTTTAGTTTCAGGAGCATCAATGGCTTCTCAGTCAGCGAATTTGTGGGTGTTGCTAGGACTAGGGTTGGCAGGGATAGTGATGCTGACGAGAAAGTTTAAGAAAGCAGTTAAAGCTGACTTTGGGGCTTTCATTGAGAGGCTTCAGCTTCTTCCCCCGCCTCAGCCTCCCCCGCCTAAAGCTCCGCACCCTCTCACCGGCCTCTTTTTCGCCGTGTCTGACGTGTAAGCCTTTTAACACTCCTTTGTGTGTGTTAAGTATTCTTATACGTTTTTCTCGTAGCCTTTCTCATTAGGAGGTCAGTGGATTTCCGGCAGGCTCATCTCTTTTTAATGGAAAATTAGAGTCAGGTTGGACGGAGGGTCTTGAAGTCCTATATATATGAGATTTAATACAATGGGTGATCATATACAGTACAATTTATTCTTTTATCAAGATGATATAGACTAAGCCCTTGCGGCCTTGCTCCCACCAAAACCTCCAACTGACCCGCAGGGAAAAGGACTTATTCAAATGCATAGCTGATCCTAGTTTGTTTTTATTTTATATTATCTTCTGATATTATAATTGGACTTGATATGGCGGTTTGTGCTTTTGGCCTATGCTTTTGCATCAAACTCATCTTCCATATGGGGAAATGAAATTCTTTATGCACAAAAGAGGAAGTTTTAAGTTCCCATGACTTCAATAACGAATTGTGGATTATTCCACTAACTTTTCTATAATTCCACAGGTTTAATATAGCTGGATTTGTTACTGGTTTTGGCAATCCAGACTGGTCAAGGACTCATGAACCTGCAACACGGACATCTACTGCAGTCACTGCTCTTGTAGAAGGAGGTGCAACTTGTGTTGCAAAGACTATCGTAGATGACATGGCTATAGGGTTTGTTTGTTCCCAATCCTTGAGTACTTGTAAACTGATATTTATTTCATTTTATGCGTTTTCATGTTAAATCGTTAACATTATTCAGATTAAGTGGAGAAAATAAGCATTATGATGCACCTACTAATCCCGCATCTTCTTCAAGAGTTCCCGGAGGTGCATCTAGTGGAGCTTCAGTAGCTGTAGCTGCAAATCTTGTGGATTTTTCTTTGGGTAGCTTTAATAATCTCTTGTCTCTCTCTATGTGTGTGCATACATCATTTTTACTTCATTTAGCAAGTTAGCAGCAGTTGTACCAGCTTCTGCATTTGTAGTCTGATTTTCGGCACTGTTATGCCTTATTTGGTTGAGAACAGTCTAAAATAGGGTGAATTTCATGTATTGTTTAATAGGATAGATTTGTAAAATAGGAGATAGAAAGAAGAAAAAGAATTGTGTGTTGGTCTAAAAAGACAAAAGAAAGTAAGGAACTTCCAATGGACGATGCTAATAATAAGGAAAGGGCATAATACATGAAAAAAATAAATACTGCTAGTTTTCTTCTCACTTTTGCTAACAATGAATGCTTTGGTGGAGCCCATGTTTTTTCCTTTCTTTTCTCTTTCTCTTGTGTACCAAACCAAATATAAAATACGTTTTTTAATGTCCTCAACAATTATTTCCTTCCTATTTCTATTAAGAAGACTTTGCCTTTTTTATTCTATAAAATGATTCAATTTGGATTAACTTTATTACTTTATTTACCGACAGGTATTGATACTGATGGTGGTGTGCGAGTCCCTGCTGGATATTGTGGGATTCTTGGGTTTCGACCGTCACTTGGGACTGTTTCTCACATGGGCATAATTCCTGTCTCGCCTAGCCTTGATGTAGTTGGTATGCCCTTGTTTATGTTGGTTGAGATAGGCAACTAGTAGATATGATTTTTATGTAGTCATGTAGATAGGGTTTTATAACTTTTATTTGCATTAGGTATTTACTCATTCCTTAATGGCGTGGCCTTTTATTATTTTTTGGGGATTCTTTATCTACATGTACTCGCAATTCAAAAAGGATACTAATTACGTTTTGAAGGAGCGTACATATCAATATTCAGTGGAGTAATTACATGAACTTTTCGATAATACTAAATTTCGTTCTCAACTTTTTTCCCAGGGTAGTTTTGGTCCCAGGAAGACCCAATTTAGTCCTCGTACATATTGGTTGTGTCCCTGCATATCTGCCTAAGTTTATCTTCAATGTATGAAAACAACCTTCTTTATTGTAGCAAAATATGCAAGAAGACCAAGTCAAGGCTAAAATGTTAGTGGAGGATGCCCATGAAGAGTTGTTGCATTAATCTTCAAATTAGTGGACTGAAAAACAGTCGTATATTTGACTATTTGTTGAAAATAAATGTTTGTTCTGAGGGTCGTAATTTCCTTTATAGTTAAAGATTGTTTACATTTGATTAAAAAAGGTATAGTGGAGAACAAAAAATAGTGATAATGTATAGTCTAGAGACTAAATTAGGTTTTAACTTTATTCAATATGCATTGAGAAACTCATGCATTTTGGGAACAAGATGATGAGTTTCAAGTTTCCCAATATGCAGGATGGTTTGCAAAGGATCCCAATATACTGCGTCGTGTTGGGCATGTGCTGCTTCAGATCCCCTTTACTGCTCAACGCAATCCAAGGAACATTTTGATAGCTGATGATTTGTTTCAGTCATTAAATGTTCCTATTGATCGTACCTCTCAAGTAGTAATTAAAGCCATTGGAAAGCAGTTTGGAAGTATATCGTCCTTCCTTCTGCTGTTTGACATATTTATAACTACAACCATTAACGTAATTTTATTTATTTCTGTATATATTTATATCCTAGTGATTTTTTGATGTCACTTCACAGGACAAACGATAAAACATGAGAATCTGGATGCCTATTTAAGTAAAAAGGTCCCAAGCTTGAAGTCATTCAATAAGTTAAATGGTGATGTTAACTTGTCCACAATACGATTGTTAGCACATGTTGTCCAAGTACTCAAGAGGTGAGGTAGCAAAATCATATTGATTTAAGTTAGTACAGAGCTCATTGAGAAAAAAAAAGATTGTATGAGATGATGTTCCGGATTGGTACAGTGTGCTGTCTGTTATTTAATGCCTATTGTGTCCAAAATTTCCTCACATCTTTCCTATATGTCTCTCCTTGGTATGTTTGGATCCTTTAGAATCTTGGGAATGGAAATAAACTGCTAATGGAAGTTTATTTCTTGAAGTTTGATTTTACTTTAATTATCATAAAGGAAGACAAATATGATTAATTTTAAAAACAATTTTACAGTTATTTAGATTGCATAGGCTAGTTTGAAAAATATCAAAATAGATTATTGAGCCTATACTTTATTTTTCCATTTTTTTTCCTTTGTACGAGTGTACAGGAAAATGAACCCCTAGTAAACCTGTAAATTTTCTTCTCAAGACTATTAGCCTAAAAGGCACTATTTTTATGTTTCTATTCAAGGCATGAGTTCAAGCAATACCATGATGATTGGATAAAAACTATGAAGCCTATGTTGGACCCTATTGTTACATCACAACTGCACGGCGGGCAGGACATGTCAGATTCAGAGATTGGTAACTGTCATGCTGTAAGGAATGAAATGCGATCAGCTTTAAATGATCTTCTAATGGTAATAAATTTGCAACCGTTTTCATCAATCGTTAATTTGTTCAGTATTGCTAAATATGTAAAAGTGTGGCCAATAAATTATGATGGTTAGTTGAGGGTCAGGGTTTATAGCTTAGGTAGTGTTATGTAATGATATTCATGTCATCCTTTACCCGGTGCCATAGTGTTGTAGTGCCATACAGTGATACAACAGATGAAAAGCGAATACATATCTATTATGTATTGACTTGCCCTTATTTGGTTGGAGGAATTTGAAAAGACGGGGAGAAAAGTGGAGCTATAGACTCACGTATGTGGATTATGGAGGAGGGATATGTTATGTCAATTTATCTTCACGTATTTTAAATACTTTGTTTCTACATTTTATAGTTATACATATTACAATATTTTTAATTAAAAAAGTACTAGTATATTATTTGCGTGTATTTTTCTAGAATAATAACCCCACTTTACTGACTTACTCCATTGACCCAAACACAATATATTCCAAATTTCTTCCATATTCCTCCTCTTTCTGTCTTCCATCCTCTTTTTTGAAGCAAAGGCTAAATGGCTAATTGATTCACTCGGTTGAACTGAACAATATTTTTCAGGTGTATCTCCTTATATTTGAGTTTATTAGATTATATAATTTTCTCATTCCATTTAATTTTAACAGGTTGATGGGGTTTTAGTTATTCCTACCGTTATTGATCTACTTCCAAAAACTGGTTCAAAGGGGATTCAGTCCATGGATTATGTATTTAGAGCTTCTATGTTTGCTAGCATTGCTAGCCTCGCAGGTGGTTGCCAGGTGAATGTTTCATACGATCTTTGGTTTTGTCTTTGGGCAGACACAGAGTCATATATATCTATATAAGGGTCTGTTTGGTAGCCACAGTAGGCTTATGGGCCCGTTTGTTTGTATTGTGAGCAGAACTATTTTTTCGAACTGAAAAAATAGTTTAATAGACATACCCGTTTGATAGCCATAATAGGTTTGAGGTTCGTTGGGCAGCCACGATAAGATAAGGGTCATTTGGTCTTAATTCCTTTTTGGTGGCCTTAAAAGGGTTAGGGACCTTTTGCGAGACAAACAGACATAATGGGCTTACGGTGTTAGCACCTGCAGATTAATCGAACAGTTTGCAGAAATGGATTCAAGAACTCAAGGCAACTTTATTCACTTAGGGAACAATGAGTCGAAGCCCCCCGGTACCGACTAAAAATAAAAAACAGCCTCTCTACAACTTCTAACAGTATTCTATTTATAGTAGGGAATGTTAACAACCGGTAGTTATTAGACTTACTAATAACAGACCCTGCTTCCTTCTTGAATACACTTTACTAAAGTATTTATCTCCTCTCTTCAGATTAGTAAAGTCCCTATCAATTCTTCCCTCCTGAAAAACCAACTTGCCCTCAAGTTGGAGGGTTGGAAATTGCTGTCTGATGCTTTGTTCTGTCTCCCAAGAATATTCTAACTCCGGAAGATCTTTTCAATGTACCAAGAGTTCCTTCTCCCCAGTCGAATTTATTCTGATATATTCTTTACTTCCACAGACCACACCAGTAATTCACACTCCTTAGTTAAACAGTTTGGAAGGTCTTGGCAGGAACTTGCAGATTTTAACCCCTTCAAAAGGGAAATATGAAAGACTGGATGAATCATGCACCCCACAGGTAACTTCAGTTTGAAGGCCACCGGATTTATCTCTTCTAGGATCTCATAGGGTCCATAGAACCTGGGACTCAGTTTCTGGTTAATCCTCCGAGCTAAACTTCTCATCTTGTATGACTGTATCTTCAAATATACCCCAACTTTCAACTTCATCTTCATTATTATGTCTCTTCCTTCCCAATACCTCACTGAATCCTGGATTTGTAGCTTCAATACTTGATACTTCATTTTCCTGTTCTTCACTGTCAGTAGGAGCAGAAGCAAAATCCTGGTGGCAGAGTACTCCCGATGCTTACTTATAAACTCTTCAAATAAATCATTAACCCAATGAAGAAGCACAACATTACTTATTGACTCTCCATCTTGTTTTGGACTTATTGTGCCAACTGGTTCTGCAAGAACCAAGTAAGTAAACGATTTTATCAAATCCAGATATTCTGAGGAACAATCAGCCAGAACCCAAAACAAAGCAGACAAAGGAGACTTAGTTGATTCTTCATAAGATCTTCCAGTAGGTTTGTTGAGAATCATAAGGTACTCAAAGTTTATAGCCCTAAAAAACCGGCAGTCGCAACCTTCTCTTGGTTGATTATCAATTCTCAGAGGTTTTTCCTCCTCATTTTCCTTTCTTGGACCATCACACTTTGATTTGTTTCTTTCCAGATCAACCTCTTTCCTGAACTTGGTCAGCGCCATTAACACTCTTGAGATGCATTGTTTACTGTCCACTAGCACATAGCAGTACCCTCTCACATAGTATGCCCTCTCATCATGCCACCCTCCAAAGTTATTAGATGTATCATATCCTTTATGAAAACAGGACCAAGAGCTCAGGCCAGAAGACACATTAGGATTCAGTCTCAAGACAGCATGAGTAAAAAATTTCATCAAATCGTCCTTAAAAAGTGTATTTGACACCAGTAGGTCCTTATAGATGATCATTGGATAGTAATTCATGTTCTCAACACTAGATTCTAACACCCAGATGCTTGAATAAACTTCAAGAACACCCTCTCTCCCAATAGTCAACATATTTAAAGAACTAAAATCATTCAATCCTTGTTGCTGATGCTGGAAGATGGAAGAATCCAGATAAGAGCTGACAAAGTCCCTGTAAATGCCACTCACGAGTACCAGGGACCTAGCAGATGGGCTTGTAGTCACAGAATAAGAATTTGTCACAGCAGGATCATCAAACCAATAGTCCAACCTTACACCTCCTTCTTGAAGCGATACACAAACTGATGGCATTATCCTTACATGTTCACCACTTATCAAGGCCATTTGGAAGATAGCAGGGTTGATTTCATGGTCAGATATCAAGAATCTGTTAGCGTAACCCTCAGTAGTATTACCAAACTTTTTCTTCCAACTTCCAATAATTCTTACCTCCAACTCATTTAGAATATATCCTATAAAAGTAACACTCTCATATCTGAAACTATCCAACTTGTTAAATGACTTCATTACCTCCAAAGTAGTGTTTAATGAATGACAACACATCTTTTCAGACTTTAAAACATTCGGCCAGTTCACCTTTTGTACAAGATGAGAAGAATTTCCGCATACCTGAAGAACCGTTTCAGACTTTAAGACACCTACAACTGTAGTTTGCTCCTCGATTTCGTCCTCCTTATTCGTTTTCTTGAATCTAGATCCAGTTGGCTCCAATTCGTTATTCTTTATTGATTGGGGAAAATCCTGCGCAGGTAGAGAATTACCTTGCGACAAAACTAGCGAACCTGATGGTTCCTCTTTCGATGGCGATGCCTTGTTACGCGAATTGATCGCAGGTGAGTAAGTCTGCGAAGGGTAAGAAGAAATTCGCGATTGCGAACTAAAAGAAACAGATCACGATTCAGTCTGCGAACTGGTGAGCGAAGGCGACGAACCTCGTTTGTCAGGTAGCGGAAGAGTCTTCCTCGATAGATCTCTCGGTCCTCTGCTAAACCTCTGCTTTTCCGATTCCTCAGAACCCGCGGAGTGTCGCGCTGCGTCAGATGTATGTAACCTGTTTCTCGATCGAATATAACTTCGCGTTTCCAACCTGGCGACGGCCTCCGGCAACGTCTTTAACATCGCTGTGTTTTGTTTTTGATTTCTGACCATCTTCTCTTCCAGTTCGTTTATCCTCGATTCCATCTTCGTTCTCGTCAATAACATCCACAAAGATCGACGTTCTCTGATACGAATGTTAGCACCTGCAGATTAATCGAACAGTTTGCAGAAATGGATTCAAGAACTCAAGGCAACTTTATTCACTTAGGCAACAATGAGCCTAAGCCCCCCAGTACCGACTAAAAATAAAAAAACAGCCTCTCTTCAACTTCTAACAGTATTCTATTTATAGTAGGGAATGTTAACAACTGGTAGTTATTAGCTCATAATAGACTAGACTAATAACAGACCCTACTTCCTTCTTGAATACACTTTACTAAAGTATTTATCTCCTCTCTTCCGATTAGTAAAGTCCCTATCATACGGCTTGTTTTGTCTTATTCCTGTCTGGTAAGTCATAAGCAGAACCAAGTTGATTATGGCTATCAAATAGGGCTTTAGTGTGCTAGTCAACATAATATGCATAACAAGTAGTTTAAACTTGATTATTTGGCTGAAATGAATCTTACTAAAAACACTTCTTTGTCAGCTATTTCAGCCAAATAACTCTTACCAAATGGACCCTATCTTTGAAACTTATTTATTTTTATTAATATTATTGAAATCTTCTTAACTCTCCTTTCTTTCTCTTCCTTAAACTCTGATAATATAGGCCACCATACCTCTGGGGTTTCACGATAAATGCCCAGTTTCGGTCTCGTTTGTAGCAAGGCACGGGGGTGATAGGTTTTTATTGGATGCAGTACATTCTCTATATGCGTCTCTGCAGGAGCAGGCAGAATTAGCTGCACGGACAAAATGCTCTAGTATTACTATCAGTAAGGAAGTGTCAGCTGAGATGGCTAAAGAAAAGGTGTTTCATTAATAATTTAAACCCTATGGAATCACTTCAGTGTTTCTTTTATGCAGTTCCTATTTTTAGTGACTGGCAAATGTATTAGAATAGGGAACCCCCCCCCCCCCCCCCCTCCCCCAAATTATGTGACAATAGTGGATTCTCTCCCTAGTTTTTGCATTACCACTTTTAAACCTTGAATCCTACCTAACTTGCTGTTTGTAGTTCCCTATTGAAACTAAACTATATTTAAAATGCAAATTGTTTAACACTGTACTTTTCAAGACTATTAAGATAGTTACATTTTCGTAATCAATTAATGTCTCTTTATAAGATCAAAGCCACAAACACAGGCATAACTGAATTGTTTGAAAGTTTTAAATAGACAAAAAACTCAAGTTTTAATTTATTTAATTTTTTATGAAAAAAAATATTTTTTTGGTTTTAAATTGACATGGTTTTTCCATTTATCCTTCTCTCTAGAGTTTTTTAGTTTCTTGAATTTATGATACATTGTATTTGGAAGAAAGACGTCGATTTCTAACAATCTCGTATATAAAAGTTCACAAAGAGAGATTCTAGAGGCTAATAATAGGAATACCAAGAGTCCTACGAAGAGCAGGAGGGTTCAAATATGTTCTTAGTCCATGCAAATATAACATTATTTGTTACATCTCATGTGAACTGAATTCTTTGTTTTCCTGAAATTTATGTTGTTCTCGTTTTAGTTCATCTCAGTAACCCCACTTAACCTTTCTCCGTCAAATTTTTTAACTTTTTGGAGACTTAAAGTTGATTTAAGGCTAACTGGAATCACTCATTCACGTTTCCAATAATATACATTTCTATGTTTATGAAATACACAGTATCAAATATTTCCTAAAAATAAAATGATGGGAAAAAGTAAGAGTGAGATTTTGCTAGTCATGTCAATTTTGTGGATATAAATGAGGTTGCTGGACAGTCAAAGAGGGACAAAAAAAGAAAATAACTTTAATTGCAGAGTGAGGAACAAGAAAATAATTATTGCTAGCTGAAAATCTGAAATGGGAAACATTATTTGCATGGACTTGAAACATATTTACAGCAAACATAGAATATGGCATGTAATTTTATAGGGAGGACCTTAATTCACCCCTTGGATAGCTTGTGGACACTGATAATAGATAATTGGGGGGACCAAGAGCGAAGAGTATCATTATTCCATTAAATAAAGAATCTTTAGATGGCTAGTGTAGTAGTGTATCTAGGTCTGTTTCATAGTACCAGTCGCTTCTTTCCAAAGTGAAAGTTTAAGGTAGAGAGGTGCGTGCCTTTTGTAATGCTTTATAGGGAAACCAAGCGTTTAAAGAGAAACAGTGGCAGAGGGCGATTGGCTTCTATACAGAGGCTATCAAACTCAATGGCGATAATGGAACTTACTATAGTAACCGGGCTGCAGCATATCTGGAACTTGGAAGGTTTACTTCGTTTCTCATATCTCGATCAGTTTGTATATTAGCATACACTTCAAACTATTAAAACTTGATATCTTTTGTTGATATCTTCTATCCATTACATCCAGCTTCATTCAAGCCGAAACAGATTGTACTAAAGCCATCGAACTTGATAAGAAGGTAATTTGGTCCTTATGCTCATTTATTATACTGCATGTGCACATTGAATGAGATTTTGAAATATAGAAATAAACACTGCGTACTAGAAGAAGCAATTCAATGTTAAAAAAACGTTAGAGTTTCATCCTCCTATTAGGGTTAACCCATTTTATCTCTATATTAGCATTGTAATAGAACCCTTGAGTTGTACTCTACTTTCTCAAAAATAGTCCCTTTTGACCAAAATAACTTTTCAATTTTGGTAAGGTGCAACTGTACAACTATCATAAATCTGAAACCTGACTTATTCTGTAATGTTTTCTTGGTTTAACTTAATGTCATATGATGTTTGTCTTTAACTCTTATTTTATTTTAAGTTACATGAAATGTTAGCTTCATTTGATTAACCTTTTTCAGTAAAAGCTGTGGGCGGAGGCGTACAATTTAACTTGGTATGAGATGTTCGCTGGATATTCCAAAAATTATAACCCTAGTCTTTTTAGTTGTTGGTATTCATGATTATTCATGTTGAAATTTTCAGCATTGAGGTTCTAAAAAATTCTCTCAGTTAAAGATGTTTATGCATTCCTTGGCTGTGGGCTTTACTGTTATGGTCATGTACCTGAGTGACTATATATAGAACTATTACAAGTCTGCATCTTCTATGTTGGCACTTCTTTAGTAGAAGAGAGGGGAAAGTATTACATTGTTTTTTCCTTTTCCTCTGCCCACATGCAGAATGTAAAAGCATACTTTAGGAGGGGAACAGCGCGAGAAATGCTTGGCTACTATAACCAGGCCATAGAAGGTAAACAGTCTTATTTTCATCATCCAATTATTATTATGTTCTTAATTAAAGCCCTTCCACTGTTTAACTGCTCCTGCTGTTGAAGTCTTGAAGATGGCTCACTCGCATTTCTTATTCTCTGACCATTTAATCACTAGGGAGTTGGGGATGGATATTTTTTGACTGTTCAATCACTAGGGAGTTGGGGGTGGATAAAAAAGTAAAAAACTACCAAACTGTAACTGACTGACAAATCGTACCAACACTGAAACTGATCATAACTGATTTCTGGAACAGTTCAATTAACTTTTTGAAGTTCAGGCTTTGAAAGTGACTGAACTGACCAACTGTCAAATATCCCTACTTTATGGATTTATTGTTGGTTAGAAATGTTCTTCATTTTGGTCTTGTAATATGGATTGCAGATTTCAGATATACACTGGTGCTTGAGCCAACCAACAAGAGAGCAGCCCAGTCTGCGGAGAGGCTGACAAAGCTGTTCCAATAGGGGGGGGGGGGGGGGGGGGGTGCTTTGTTATTAGAGGAACATAATTGGTGGCAGTTGATAGTTGGTTGATACATTCTTATGCTCGCCGATGAGAGGATAGATACCCTTGTTAGCAACGTGGAAGTTCCGGAGCGATTCAGCATTAGTTTTTGCAGTTCTATATCTTTCTTGATCAGATGAGTTTGTAATTATATTGCAATTTTGGGCTCAATGCTTTGGTTTGGGCTTTTGAACTGCATGGATTATCGAAAGAACTTTTGATTTTAAGCCTTCTAACGCAAGCTTCAAATTGGTTGCTCTTTAAGCGATAATAATAATTTTGGATGTAGACATTATTCGCCTTTGAAGGTGAAATGGCCTTCACTTTAGTGTATATCATGCCTGCGGAAGTGTGATGTGGGATGAGACTTATCATTACTCATGTAATGACTTGAAACTCGAATAGTGGTGTGGTGTACCTGGTTTTGTTCATGCTCAGGAACACTTGTTTGGGAGGGAAGTAGTGAAAAAAGAGGAGGGTTAATAAGTGTTGGGAATTGGGATGTGTTAAAGGATTATATTCCCTACACTTCAATTTGAGGTGCATTGGAGTTAGGCTTGGACCTGGTTCGGGCCGCCCGGCCCGGGCCCGGCCCGGCCCGTCACTGTGCGGGCCCGGAACCGGCCCGATTCTCGAATCCGGGTCCGGTTCGGGCACCGAACCGGTTGGGTTAGCGGGTCCGGGCTCGGGTCCTGTTTTTGGAGGCCTGGCCGGGTCGGGCCCGGGCCCGGGCCTAACGGTCAGTTTTTTTTTTTTAAAAATTCATTTTAATTTGAAAAAAACCTTTTGGCTCAACAGCCACTTCCCAAATGGCTATATAGCCGTTGGGGGGGGGGGGGGGTACCAGGGGGGGGGGGGTCCGGGGTGTTTGGGGGTGGGGGGGGGGGGGTTAAAAAAACCTGTAAATACTCCTAATTTTAAACATTTTTTCACACCTCTTCTCCAACTCTCCCTAAATCCTACTCTCTACTCATCTCCAATTCTCCATATTCATCTTCTCAAATTCTCTTATTCTCCTTTATATTTTATTTTACTATTTAATATTTATACAATTATTATATCTATTTATATATTAATTATCTACTTATAAATACATATACTATATTACTTGTATTTCTTATCTACTTAATCTCTACTTATATTTCTTAATACATACATACATACTACATCTACTTAATATATACTTTATATAATAAAGTATAAAATATACTTTATAAACTATTACTATATACTTAATACATAATAATATCTACTTCTCTACTTAATAATTTCTATTTTATATATACTTATTTTATAATATCTACTTTTATATATACTTTATAATATCTATTTTATATATACTTATTTTCTTATTTTCCAATCTCCAATTCTCCATTATACTCTAATATTTAATTCTTATACAATTATTATATTCACTTAATACATACATTCTACATCTATTTAATATATACTTTATATATTAAAGTATAAAATATAAGTGTATTACTCATCTTATAGTAGTATACTTATATATTATATACTATAAGCATTATATTATATATTACTTACTATAGCTAGTATTGTACTAGTTAATTAGTTAATTAGCATTCTTGTTACATTTATCATTATAATAGTTAATTAGTTCATTACCATTATTGTTACATTTTTCATTATACTAGTTAATTAGTTTATTAGCATTGTTGTTACATTTGTCATTATACTAGTTAATTAGTTAATTAGCATTGTTGTTACATTTTTCATTATACTAGTTATTTACTTCATTAGTATTCTCATTAATTGTTAAAACAACTCTACTTCAATAAACTAGTTAATTGTCATTAATTCATTATAGTTAAAGTCACATTTTCTTATTTTCAATTTATATTTGTAGGAAGAAATAGTAGTTCAATCATTTAATTAAAGTACTTAACATTTTATTTAAGTAGTTTTTACTAAATTAAAGTACTTCAAAAGTTGGTATAATTTTAATTTTAAAGTCACACATTAATTCTACTTTGCACTAAATTAGTTTGAAGAATTAATTAAAATAGTTTTAATTAGTTGCATTAGTTTTGTATCTATTATTATATTTGTTGTCAATTAATATTTGTTACATTTTTAAGATGGAAGGTGGTAGATATTCGGTTGATTTGGGTAACCTCCAACGCAATCGAAGGAACGAGATTGGGAGGAAGAAATCCCGCAAAGGTAAAGAACTTGCCGGTTCTTCATCTCAAAGCCGAGATGATTTTGAAACGGGTTACCAAAGGCGAGATGGAGATGCGATGTCCGAAGAACAACTCCAACAAGAATTGGCCCGACATAATAACCGCTTTCTACAACAACAACAACAAATGCCGACGACCATTGACGAAGAGGAGATTGAGGATGAAGATGCGGAGGAATTGGAACCGGAGACGGCCGAGGAGGAGGGTGCCGGCAGCCACGACGCCGACGAGCCTGCCTCATCCCAAACCGCCACCGGTAATAAAAAAAGTAAGTCTGAACTAATGAAAAATAATTTTGATAAATGGAAGGACCCACAAACCGGCTATTGGCACGCAACTTGCAAGTGGTGCAACAACAATTATAGTTTGGGAACCTCCGGCGGATACGGATCCGCCGCAAGGCATCTTAAGGCAAAGCACCCCGTGGAGTATGCAAAATTAGGCGGCGGAACGGGGAAGCAAACTCAAATATCGAGGTTTGCGAATTCTCAACCTTTTGGTAATTTCTCCTACAATGATGCACAAAATTTGACTGGTATGGCTAACTTGATTTGTGAAGAAAATTTGCCTTATTTGTTTTCTGAAAGTCTTGCTTTAAGAGATTATGCACAAGGTAGTTTAAATCCTCAATTTAGAAATTATAGTCGCAAAACTATTAAGAAAGAAATAATAAGGCTTTATAATGCGGAAAAGGTAAGATTACAAAATTTTTTTGCAAACTTTGATGGGCGTGTTACTATTTGTTCTGACATATGGGAGGATGATTTTCATCATTTATATTATTTGGGTCTGACTGCACATTATATTGATGAGGATTGGAATATGCATAAACGTGTTCTTGCTTTTCGTGAATTTAATGATCGTCACACCGCTGAACATATTTATATTTTGATTAAGCGTATTTTAATTGAGTATAATTTGATTGATAAGGTGTTTGCTATTGGTTTCGATAATGCTACTAATAATACTGCTGCTATACCTAGATTGCGTGAGTTGTGTGGTGCCAATTCTTTGATGGGTAGATTTTTTCATCAACGCTGTGCATGTCATGTTATAAATTTATGTGTGCAAGACGGTTTAAAAGCGTTAGGAGATTCCATGGAGGTAATAAAGGGGGGGATTAGACGTATTTGGGGTAATGGTCAACTTAGATTAAAATGGCAAAGTTTTGACTGAAAGAGGTGTGAGATATGTTGCTTTTCCTAAAGATTTGAGTATTCGTTGGAATAGTACTTATAAATTACTTAAAGTTGTTCTTAGATATAAAGAACATTTTCCTGCTTTTTTAAAAGAACATGATAACTATATTATAAACGCGGCTGAGATCGACACTTGCGAAAAAATTTGTAATGTTTTGATATATTTTTTTAATGCTACTGAAACTTTTAATCATGTTTATAAACCTACCGCAAACCAATTTATTCCACAAGCTGTTAATCTCGCCGATGCTTTTAAAGAATTTCAGAATGTCGTTTTCGTTCATTATTTTTGTGAACATATGAAGGAAAAGTTTTTAAAATATTATGCGCATATTCCCCATATTTATGGTATTGCATTTATTCTCGATCCTCGTTATAGACTTGCTAATTTGGAAGATTGTTTCAACTTCTATTATCTTGCGTTTTTCGGTGAATTTCCAATGTATGACGATAACCCCATAGATCCGAAAACGGAATACAACGAGGTTAGTACTTTATTTTATGCCTTATTTAATGAGTTTCGTGCACAATATAGCAACGCTCCCCCTCCCCCGTCACGAACATCTTCATCTAAAGGAAAATCGATTTTTAAATCTGCATTTGGCAATCTTATGAAAAAAACTAAAACAACTCACATCACTGAACAAAGCGCATTGAATGAGATTACTTTGTATTTAACATATGAAGTTGATTTTGAAGAAAATGATGACTTTGACGTTCTAGACTGGTGGAAGTCAAAAGAAAGAACGTTCCCGATTTTAGCACGGATGGCTAAGCAAGTACTATCAATTCCGGTTTCAACAGTTGCTGTGGAACAAGAATTTAGTTCGGCCGGCAACGTCCTAACGGCATCTAGATCGAGATTGAGCGCGGAGTCTCTTGAGACGCTTATATGCTACCACGATTGGTTGAAGGCCGCACGTAGAACTCAAGAACTGAGCATCACCCATTCACCCCCTCCCAAGATTTTATGGATGACTCAACAACCGATGGTGGCTCTACCTATGCCGGAGATTCCGATTGATTAGTATTTTAGAATTTATTATAAAATGTATTTTATAACACTTGTCAAATTTATTTATACTTGTACTTCATATTTCAAAATTGTAAACTTGTACTTCATATTTCAAAATTGTAAATTTGTAGTTGTACTTCAAATTAATTTGTAAACTTGTACTTCATATTTCAAATAAATATGTGTTCACTTTTTCATATGTAGCACTTCTCAAATTAATTAATTGGTTACAATCTAACGACTTAAAATTATTTTTCTAAAATATAAAGCCGGTTTTTAAATTAAAAATACATTTACAATATGTAATTTGTTTAAATACTTATACACCTATTTTGTCACTTTTGTAAATTATAAATCAAACCACTTTTCTAAGTACAAATAGTTTTAGTTTTATTTAATTCATTAAATTAATTAATTTATTTTACAATATGTGTATAACTTAAAAAAAAAATTAATTCAAACCTCCCAAACGGCTATATAGCCGTTGGGGCTATGGGTGGGGGGCAGGGGGGTCCCGGGGGTGGTGGTGTGGGGAGTGGGGTTCAAAAACATCTATAAATACATCTATTTTCTAACATTTTTCTACACCTCTTCTCCAATTCTTCTCAAACTCTTCTCCATCTTCATCTTCTCTTATTATCCTACATTCCTACTTATACATATACCATTTTAAATATGGAAAGTACATCTTCCCTTATGCAAAACAATTTTGACAAGTGGAAGGACCCGAAGACCGGACTGTGGTGGGCAACTTGCAGGTGGTGCAAGAAAGAGTGTTGCTTGGGGCGTTCATACGGATACGGGATGCCAATAAAACATATGAAGTCCTATGACAAAGGGAAAACAACAACCAACGGTGGCGGAAATCCCAATTGATATTCATTACAAAATGTATTTCGTATTGTTATTTTTTTCTCAATTCTCAAATGTAGTTCTTATTTCAAATAAATGCACTTGAACTTTGTTTTTAATAGCAATTTGTATAATATATAATTAATTAAAAAAAAATATACTGGCCCGGCCGGGCCCGGCGGGTGGCCTGACCCGTGACCCGGGCGGGTGGCCCGGCCCGAACCGGAACCGGTCATTGACCGGGCGGTCCCGGGCCTACCATTATAAGACCCGAGGCCCGACCGGGCCTTGACCCGGCCCGGGCCCGACCCGGCCCGGGTCCAACACTAATTGGAGTGTTGACAATATTACCTTTGACAATATTTCCTATGGTAACGTAAAAACTCAACCCGTCTTTCAAATTCCCGTGTGCCATTCGTCTTTCTTTCACGAAATACCTAGTCTCTTTTGCTCATATCGGATGCACAGATGTGCACAAGTATTTTTTTAAATTATTTTTGAACATGCGAATTTCACATATACTTGGTGTTATAAATTCATTACTTTATAGTTTATACACCGAGGAATAATTGCTTAGTACTAGGGTTGTATACGAACCGAATCGAGTCGAATAGCAGGATTTTGTATTTGTATTTGATTAATTTTTTTGAATACGAATTCGAATTCAAATATGAAAAGAATATTAATTTCGATTTGTATTTGTATTTGTTTAACAATATGAATAATTAAGGAATCTTATATGAATATGGAATAGATTTGAGCATAGGTTAAATATTTGTCAAATATCACTTTAAAATAAATTTTCTTATATATTTTTATGTTGTAAATGTACGCTATGTCTTAATATGTGTTTTTAGAATTTAAATTGTGCATGATATACTAAAGTGAATCAATTTTATGATTAACAAATATAAATCCATTTCAAACTTTTAGAAATAAACACAACACACATATTAGAAATTATACTTACAATGTGTGAAATAAGTTGATAATTGTATATATCAAAGTCAGAAGTCTCTAATTTTATTCTTCTAATCGAATACATAATTATTTGTATTGTATTTGAGAGACATTTGAACCAAAAATCTGATTTGTATTCTTATTTATACTTTGATTTATTACAAATGGACTTGGGATTTGTATGCATAAATGTATATATGAACTACACTTTAGGGTATTGCTATCTTTTAAAAGTTATTATAGTGTTATTACTATTATTATTAATATTATTATTAATATTATTATTAATATTATCACTATTATTAATCGAATATATTTGATTAATATTCAAATCGAATATACTGATATTCTTATTTGAATTTGATAACAACTCGAATCAAATTTAATATTCATATTTGTATTTGTATTTGAATTTTCCGAATTCGAATCATCTTATACGAATTCGAATCGCGAATCGAGCACAAATTATTTGATTCGTTTACAACCCTACTTAGTACTGATCTAACTATTTTTTGGCGATTATGATTTTTTTAGGGGTGGTGATTATGATTTTATTCAACTAAATTTTACTTGATTTTATTGAACTAAAATTTATCATATTTAATTGACGTAAAATGTGAAATACACTGTGTTCCAACTTTTTAATTTTTAAACATTTTGTAGAACAACCAAAGCTTGATCACAACAATGGCCGATAGAGCAAGAGTTTGAAACTTTGTCTGAGTCTAGGACTTTCATCCAAAATATATTTATTTTTACATTTCAATATTACTCAATATAACTTTCATTGAACATTAGTTTTAATCAATCTCCTGGAATTTTTTTACATTTTGCATCTGATAATATTACATTTTTCATCCTTGTGGAGGTGATGTTAGCCTTGATGTGCTATGTTTTATGGCTTCCATATGTTTTTGTTAACAAATACGTAGTAATATATTTAATGTCACAGATATCCTTTTGAGTTTGTGCACTTGAATAGGAATCCATTTATCCTTTTGAAATTGATTTGAAAGAAATTGATTTTGGCAATTAGACTATTTCTTGTAGATGTGTATGAGTACCCCATGCATCAATGCATGAGAGTAAGCTCTAATTGACACACATTTTTGAAAAACAAATTGAAAACCGAGACCACTTTGGACTTTAGTTCGAATGATGCAACCAACGGAAGCGCAATAACTTTAGATGGATCCGTTTGAGAAATTCTATTTACAACCACACAATTTCTAGTAAACCTGCAAATTTTCTTCTCAAGACTATTAGCCTAAAAGGCACTATTTTTATGTTTCTATTCAAGGCATGAGTTCAAGCAATACCATGATGATTGGATAAAAACTGTGAAGCCTATGTTGGACCCTATTGTTACATCACAACTGCATGGCGGGCTGGACATGTCAGATTCAGAGATTGGTAACTGTCATGCTGTAAGGAATGAAATGCGATCAACTTTAAATGATCTTCTAATGGTAATAAATTTGCAACCGTTTTCCTCAGTCGTTAATTTGTTCAGTATTACTGAATATGTAAAAGTGTGGCCAATAAATTATGATGGTTAGTTGAGGGTCAGGGTTTATAGCTTAGGTAGTGTTATGGAATGATATTCATGTCATCCTTTACCCGGTGCCATACAACATGAAAAGCGAATACATATCTATTATGTATTACTTGTCCTTATTTGGTTGGAGGGATTTGAAGAGACATGGAGAAAAGTGGAGCTATAGACTCATTCAAACTCTATTTATCTCACTCCCTTATGTGAATTATTTCAGAGGAGGGATATGTTATGTCAATTTATTTTCACGTATTTTAAATACTTTTTTTCTACATTTTATTGTTATACATATTACAATATTTTTAATTAAAAAGTACTAGTATAATAGTTTTTTTTCCATTGTAAGACTCTTGCATTAAGGTGGGGTGGAAGAATCTGCGGTAACCGTCTTTAGCTCTCGATTGCCCAATTTTGGTCTAGCGAGTTATACTGCTTTTTTACAGGTGGTTAACTCTCAGTCTCAGCCACGGGCGGATGGTTATTTGTGGTTTTTTTCTAGTCTGATACCCTTACTGAATGCTATTTTTATGAATTAAGCCTTCTTCAAGCAAAAAAAGTACTAGTGCTCCCTCCGTTCTTTAATAAAAGTCCTTCTTTCCTTTTTGGGACGTTTTTTATTTGTCCTCCTTTCCATTTAAGGAAAGTTTTTACTTTAAATATACCTTTACACCCCCACTTTTATTACCATTACCCCTTTCTCTTTCCTACTTTTTCATTTACCCACTACTCATTACACCTTTTACACTACCCCTATTATTTTCCTCTTAAAACCCGTGTCAAAAGCCTAAGAGGACTTATATTAAAGAACTGAGCGAGTATATTATTTGCGTGTATTTTTCTAGAATAATAATCCCAATTTACTGACTTACTCCATTGACCCAAACACAATATATTCCAAATTTCTTCCATATTCCTTCCCTTTCTGTCTTCCGTCCTCTTTTTCGAAGCAAAGGCTAAATGGCTAATTGATTCACTCGGTTGAACTGAACAATATTTTTCAGGTGTATCTCTTATATTTGAGTTTATTAGATTATATAATTTTCTCATTCCATTTAATTTTAACAGGGTGATGGGGTTTTAGTTATTCCTACCGTTATTGATCTACTTCCAAAAACTGGTTCAAAGGAGATTCAGTCCATGGATTTTGTATTTAGAGCTTCTATGTTTGCTAGCATTGCTAGCCTCGCAGGTGGTTGCCAGGTGAATGTTTCATACGATCTTTGGTTTTGTCTTTGGGCAGACACAGAGTCATATATATCTATATAAGGGTCTGTTTGGTAGCCACAGTAGGCTTATGGGCCCGTTTGTTTGTATTGTGAGCAGAACTATTTTTTCGAACTGAAAAAATAGTTTGATAGACATACCCGTTTGATAGCCATAATAGGTTTGAGGTTCGTTGGGCAGCCATGATAAGATAAGGGTCATTGGTCTTCGAACTTTCATAAAAATGTCAATTAAGTCCTTCTATAGGAGGTTTTGTCCGGCCGTCGCGATTTGGGGCAGTTTCCGGTGGAATTTTTTGATGAAATTTTTTTACTATCTTATTCACATTCAAATTAATTCTTGAAGATAACTGCGCATTTTTGCGTTCTCAAATTAATTTGAATGCGCTCCCGATTAAATTTTTAGCTGAAATTTGGTATGAGTAAACTAGACTTGTGAATAAGATGCTCAAAAAATTTCATCAAAAAATTCCACCGGGAACCACCCCAAATCGCGACGACCGGACAGAGTCTCCTATAGAAGGACTTAATTGACTTTTTTATGAAAGTTCGAGGATCTATTTGACAGTTTTCCCATTCCTTTTTGGTGGCCTTAAAAGGGTTAGGGACCTTTTGCGAGACAATCAGACATAATAGGCTTACGGTGTTAGCACCTGCAGATTAATCGAACAGTTTGCAGAAATGGATTCAAGAACTCAAGGCAACTTTATTCACTTAGGCAACAATGAGTATTTATAACTTCTAACAGTATTCTATTTATAGTAGGGAATGTTAACAACCGGTAGTTATTAGACTTACTAATAACAGACACTGCTTCCTTCTTGAATACACTTTACTAAAGTATTTATCTCCTCTCTTCAGATTAGTAAAGTCTCTATCAATTCTTCCCTCCTGAAAATCCAACTTGCCCTCAAGTTGGAGGGTTGGAAATTGCTGTCTGATGCTTTGTTCTGTCTCCCAAGAATCTTCAAACTCCGGAAGATCTTTCCAATGTACCAAGAATTCCTGCTCCCCAGCCGAATTTATTCTGATATGCTTTACTTCCACAGACCACACCAGTAATTCACACTCCTTAGTTAAACAGTTTGGAAGGTCTTGGCAGGAACTTGCAGATTTTAACTCCTTCAAAAGGGAAATATGAAAGACTGGATGAATCCTACACCCCACAGGTAACTTCAGTTTGAAGGCCACCGGATTTATCTCTTCTAGGATCTCATAGGGTCCATAGAACCTGGGACTCAGTTTCTGGTTAATCCTCCGAGCTAAACTTCTCATCTTGTATGACTGTATCTTCAAATATACCCCAACTTTCAACTTCAGCTTCATTGTTGTGCCTCTTCCTTCCCAATACCTCACTGAATCCTGGATTTGTAGCTTCAATACTTGAAACTTCTGTTAAGGATCCAACCTGCAGTAGAGTAATCCGAGCCACAGATATGGTAGAAACGAAGATGAATAGTAATAGGGAGGTCGTTTACTAACAAACAAGAGAGAGAAAATGTATGGCAGATAACAAACAAGTCCCAGCCCAAAATAACCAAAACCAGCCTACCCCTTATTACAAAAGTTCAGTATTTATATTACTCCCCCCTGCAATACAAAGCTATTTATTATTCCCCTTTCTTCTCCTTGAGTAAACCCGGTCATAATAGTCAATGCTATTATTAGTAATGAGCTGGCCTCCCGTGTCCATATTATCACCTCCCCCTGAAACTACCACCTTGTCCCCAAGGTGGAAGTAGGAAATTGCTTCTGAAAGTGCTGCAATTCCTCTCATGAATCTTCAAATTCTGGCATATTCTCCCAATGTACCAACACCTCAGTTCTTCCTGCAGCATTGATCCTTCTATTCTTCACCTGTTCAGGCTTCACTTGCAGCTCCCATTCTTCTGTTAGGCACTTGGATAGGGGTTGTATTGGAGTTGCAGTACGTACTGCTTTCTTCAGTAGAGAAAAATGAAAGACAGGATGCACCTTAAATCCTCAGGTAGTTTCAATTTGTAAGCTACAGAATTGATTTGTTCAATGACTTCAAAGGGCCCATAAAACCTCAGACTCAGCTTTTGATTCATTCTTGTGACCAAAGTTTTGAGTTTATAGGGTTGTATTTTCAAATACACCCCGTCTCCTACCACAAGCTGAACCTCCCTCCTTCTCTTATCAGCTTGTTGTTTCATCTGATTTTGTGCAATGGCTAAATTATTCTTCAACTCTTCTATCATTTCATTTCTTTCAGCTGTCATCCTATTTACCTCTTCCACAGCTGCTAGGGTGACATCCCCTCTAATCAATACAGGTGGATCCTGCCCATACAATGCTTTATAAGGACTATTCTTAGTAGACACATGATAATTTGTGTTATACCAGAATTCTGCCCATGGTAACCACTGAGGCCATTGCTTTGGTTTCTTTCCTGTCATGCATCGAAGGTAAGTTTCTACACACCTGTTCACCACTTCTGTTTGCCCATCTGTCTGGGGATGATATGTTGTGCTGTATTTCAATTTAGTCCCAGCTAGTTTGAATAATTCAGTCCAAAAAGCACTTAGGAACACGTTGTCTCTGTCTGAGACTAGTCTTGGGAAACCCATGTAGTCTGACAATCTCCTGAATGAATAGTTCTGCCACACTTTTAGCATTATAGGGATGTGATAATGCTATGAAGTGTGCAAATTTTGTTAGTCTGTCCACCACCACTAGAATGGTGTCCTTCCCTTGAGCTTTAGGCAACCCACCAATGAAATCCATGCTCAAGTCAGCCCAAATCTGGTTGGGAATTGGTAATGGTTGTAGTAATCCTGCTGGGCTCAAAGTCTGATATTTATTCCTTTGGCACACATCACATTGCTGCACATATTGCTTAATATCACCTCTCATTCCCTCCCAATAAAAGAGAGTAGATATCCTCTTCATAGTCTTGAAGTTTCCAGCATGCCCCCCTATTGCAGACTCATGAAATTCTTTGAGGATAGCATTAATCCTCACAGAATTCCTAGGAATCACCAATCTTCCCTTGAAATAAAGAAGCCCTTGCCTGATTTTGAAATTAGGAATAGATTCTGGTTCTGCCCCTAGTTTTTGCGACATAATTTTGTATTTCTCTTCCCCCAATAGTTCATTTTCTAGTCCTTCCCACTCTTGGCAGGTAACCACAGACAAGGCATAGAAATGACCCTTCCTAGATAAAGCATTTGCAGCCTTGTTTTCCACCCCGGGTTTGTATTTGATGACAAAGTTGAACCCCAGTAATTTTGTCACCCATTTCTGCTGATCTTCTCCTAAAATCCTTTGTTCTGTCAAAAATCTCAGACTCTTTTGATCTGAATGTACTTCAAACCTTCTTCCTAGCTGGTAAGGTCTCCACTTCTGAATAGCTAGTACAATAGCCATAAGCTCTCTCTCATATACTGACTTATTTTGATTCCTGTTGGATAATGTTTTACTCATATAAGCCACAGGTCTGCCCTCCTGCATAAGCATCTGACTCTATCACAAAGGTCTGATTGAAATCAGGTATCTTTAACACAGGTAATTGAGTCATTTTCAGTTTCAGTTCATCAAAAGCTTTCTGAGCCTCAGAGTCCCACTTAAATCCATCCTTCTTGAGAAGATTATTCAGAGGAGAGGCTATTTTACTATAGCCTTTGACAAATTTTCTGTAATAGCCTGTAAATCCCAGAAATCCCCTCAGTCCTTTAACATTAGTTGGGTATTTCCAATTCAGCATGTCTTCTATTTTACTTGGGTCTGCTGCAACCCCCTCTTTAGAAATAATATGTCCCAAATAAGCCAACTGCTTCTGCCCAAAGGAACACTTTTTCTCATTAACCACCAATTGATTTATTTGTAACAACTGTAACAATGTTCCCAATGTTCATCCTCTGTTGTGCTGTATATTAGTATGTCGTCAAAGAAGACTAATACAAATTTTCTGAGGTATGGCTTCAGGACTTTGTTCATTAAGGCCTGAAAAGTGGAGGGTGCATTCGTGAGTCCGAAAGGCATGACCAGGTATTCGTAATGACCCTCATGAGTTCTTATGGCTGTCTTGTGGATGTCCTCTTCTCTCATTCGAATTTGATGATAGCCTGACTTCAGGTCCAGCTTGGAGAAGATCTGTGCATTGCTCAGCTCATCCAGCAACTCATCTATAATGGGAATTGGAAATTTATCAGGTACTGTAATTCGATTTAGGGCCCTGTAGTCTCCACAGAATCTCCAACCCCCATCTTTCTTCTTGACCATCAACACTGGGCTACTGTATGGGCTGGTACTGGGCCTGATGATCCCTCCCTTCAACAATTCCTGAATTACCTTCTCAATTTCATTCTTTAGATACTGGGGGTATCTATATGGTCTAATGTTAGGGATGGTTGATCCTTCCTTGATAACAATAGAGTGATCACAGTCTCTTTTGGGGGGTAATCCCTCTAAAGTCTTGAAAACCTCAGGGAACTCGGCTTTACTTTTCTGAATCCACCCTTGACTGGTTTGTGTATCCTCTCTGTCTATAACTTCAGCTTGTACAGATAGTACCCCTCACCTTCCTTGTGGAAAACTCTGACCAGGCTCTTCAAAGAGACTTCAGTTCTGCTCAGAGTTGGATCTCCTTTTAACTTCTTTGTTTTGCCATCCTGGATCCACTTAAGAGACAATTGATGACAATTGAACTCCACATTTCCCAATCCTGCTAACCATTCCATCCCCAAAACCATTTCAGTTCCTCCTAACTCCAGGATGTAGAAATCCTGGGTGATAATGACCTGTTGCAGCTTGACAGATATAGCCTCACATCTCCCATTATTTTTAATCAGATCCCCATTCCCTATTTCCACCTTAAACTCAGGAATCTGTAATATAGGAATTCCCACTTCTTGTACCACTCTGGGAGATAAAGTTGTGAGTGGCCCCACAATCAATTAATATGACTATTTCCTTACTTCCCCTATGGCCCTGAATTTCTCCTCTCAACTTGAAGGTCCTGGGAGTAGTCAATCCTTCTTTACTCAGCAATGACAGTTGCATTTTTGAGATAACATTGTCCTCCATCATAGATATAGGTTCTGGATGGTTGTCTCCTAGCTCTTCCTCCTCCTCCTCCTCCTCCTCCTCCTCCTCCGAATCATCTAACATGAGAATTTGAAAGTGCTTCATCTTGCAGATATGGTCTTTTCCCCACTTCTCCCCACATTTGAAGCAAAGACCCTTTCTACTCAGCTCCTGCAGCTCAGACTGTGTTAACCTCTGTGTTCCCTTCATCCCTGCACCTTTGTTTACTGTCTCATTGCTCTTCTCCAAGTTAGATTTCTCAGGTCCAGACTGATTGGTGATGTTATTCTTCCATTTATTCTCATTTAGCCATCTGTGAGATTGGGAAACAACATTCCCTCTCTCTCTTTCTGCCCTTTCTTTTGATCATCCTTGTATCTGCTTAAATTCAAGGTGTGGTTTCTTTCTTCTACCATCAAGGCTTTATTCATTACCTCTGTTAAAGTTCTGACAGGATTCAACTTTAATTCAGCCTTGATTTCAGCCTTCAGCCCTTTCATAAAAATCCCCTTGAGCATTTTCACATCAGTATGTTTCAAAGGTGCTGCAACCAACTCAAACTCTTCCCTGTACTCCATCACACTCCCAGTCTGCTTAATACTCAGTAACGGACCATATGGATCCTTTACTAATCCAAGTTGAAACCTCTGAATCAAAGCCTCCTTAAACAGTTCCCAACTCCTCACATTTGAATGCTCTTCCCACCACTGAAACCAATTTAACGCCTTACCTTCCATAGCTAGAGTAACTACTTCCACTTTATCCTCTTCAGCTATTCGGTTCATTTTAAAAAACCGCTCAACCTTAATAGTCCATCCATATGCATCATGACCGTTAAAAAGTGGTAAATCCACTTTTCTTCCAGATTTCTCAAACCATCGATTGTAATCATCATCACGCCTAGAGGATAGAGATCGATGATAACCTTCAGATGATCTGGAGTCGTGGCTACCATCCCGCGCACTGGTTTTGGAGGTTTTTGATCGACCGCGAGATTTGCGATCAAACTTCTTCATCATTGCCTCGCGGAATTCATCGAGATCACATTTGGCCTCCTCGCTTCTGATTCTAGCCTCCTCGCTATGCCTCTCCAATTCGCGCTCCACGTTTGCAGAGTGCCTCGCCAACTCTCGCTCCAAATTCTCCAATCTTCCATCGTTATTTTTGTTGATCCTCTCGTAACGACCATGTACAGGCACCAGATCGATGCTCTGATACCAATGTTAAGGATCCAACCTGCAGTAGAGTAATCCGAGCCACAAATATGGTAGAAACGAAGATGAATAGTAATAGGGAGGTCGTTTACTAACAAACAAGAGAGAGAAAATGTATGGCAGATAACAAACAAGTCCCAGCCCAAAATAACCAAAACCAGCCTACCCCTTATTACAAAAGTTCAGTGTTTATATTACTCCCCCTGCGATACAAAGCTATTTATTATTCCCCTTTCTTCTCCTTGAGTAAACCAGGTCATAATAGTCAATGCTATTATTAGTAATGGGCTGGCCTCCCGTGTCCCTATCAACTTCATTTTCCTGTTCTTCACTGTCAGTAGGAGCAGAAGCAAAATCCTGGTGGCAGAATACTCCCGGTGCTTACTAATAAACTCTTCAAATAAATCATTAACCCAATGAAGAAGCACAACATTACTTATTGACTCTCCATCTTGTTTTGGACTTATTGTTCCTACTGGTTCTGCAAGAACCAAGTAAGTAAACGATTTTATCAAATCCAGATATTCTGAGGAACAATCAGCCAGAACCCAAAACAAAGGAGACAAAGGAGACTTAGTTGATTCTTCATAAGATCTTCCAGTAGGTTTGTTGAGAATCATAAGGTACTCAAAGTTTATAGCCCTAAAAAACCGGCAGTCGCAACCTTCTCTTGGTTGATTATCAATTCTCAGAGGTTTTTCCTCCTCATTTTCCTTTCTTGGACCATCACACTTTGATTTGTTTCTTTCCGGATCAACCTCTTTCCTGAACTTGGTCAGCGCCATTAACACTCTTGAGATGCATTGTTTACTGTCCACTAGCACATAGCAGTACCCTCTCACATAGTATGCCCTCTCATCATGCCACCCTCCAAAGTTATTAGATGTATCATATCCTTTATGAAAACAGGACCAAGAGCTCAGGCCAGAAGACACATTAGGATTCAGTCTCAAGACAGCATGAGTAAAAAATTTCATCAAATCGTCCTTAAAAAGTGTATTTGACACCAGTAGGTCCTTATAGATGATCATTGGATAGTAATTCATGTTCTCAACACTAGATTCTAACACCCAGATGCTTGAATAAACTTCAAGAACACCCTCTCTCCCAATAGTCAACATATTTAAAGAACTAAAATCATTCAATCCTTGTTGCTGATGCTGGAAGATGGAAGAATCCAGATAAGAGCTGACAAAGTCCCTGTAAATGCCACTCACGAGTACCAGGGACCTAGCAGATGGGCTTGTAGTCACAGAATAAGAATTTGTCACAGCAGGATCATCAAACCAATAGTCCAACCTTACACCTCCTTCTTGAAGCGATACACAAACTGATGGCATTATCCTTACATGTTCACCACTTATCAAGGCCATTTGGAAGATAGCAGGGTTGATTTCATGGTCAGATATCAAGAATCTGTTAGCGTAACCCTCAGTAGTATTACCAAACTTTTTCTTCCAACTTCCAATAATTCTTACCTCCAACTCATTTAGAATATATCCTATAAAAGTAACACTCTCATATCTGAAACTATCCAACTTGTTAAATGACTTCATTACCTCCAAAGTAGTGTTTAATGAATGACAGTACATCTTTTCAGACTTTAAAACATTCGGCCAGTTCACCTTTTGTACAAGATGAGAAGAATTTCCGCATACCTGAAGAACCGTTTCAGACTTTAAGACACCTACAACTGTAGTTTGCTCCTCGATTTCGTCCTCCTTATTCGTTTTCTTGAATCTAGACCCAGTTGGCTCCAATTCGTTATTCTTTATTGATTGGGGAAAATCCTGCGCAGGTAGAGAATTACCTTGCGACAAAACTAGCGATGCCTTGTTACGCACATTGATCGCAGGTAAGTAAGTCTGCGAAGGGTAAGAAGAAATTCTCGATTGCGAACTAAAAGAAACAGATCGCGATTCAGTCTGCGAACTGGTGAGCGAAGGCGACAAACCTCGTTTGTCAGGTAGCGGAAGAGTCTTCCTCGATAGATCTCTCGGTCCTCTGCTAAACCTCTGCTTTTCCGATTCCTCAGAACCCGCAGAGTGTCGCGCTGCGTCAGATGTATGTAACCTGTTTCTCGATCGACTATGACTTCGCGTTTCCAACCTGGCGACGGCCTCCTGCAACGTCTTTAACATCGCTGTGTTTTGTTGTTGATTTCTGACCATCTTCTCTTCCAGTTCGTTTATCCTCGATTCCATCTTCGTTCTCGTCAATAACATCCACAAAGATCGATGTTCTCTGATACGAATGTTAGCACCTGCAGATTAATCGAACAGTTTGCAGAAATGGATTCAAGAACTCAAGGAAACTTTATTCACTTGGGCAACAATGAGCCGAAGCCCCCCAGTACCGACTAAAAATAAAAAAACAGCCTCTCTACAACTTCCAACAGTATTCTATTTATAGTAGGGAATGTTAACAACCGGGAGTTATTAGCTCATAATAGACTAGACTAATAACAGACCCTGCTTCCTTCTTGAATACACTTTACTAAAGTATTTATCTCCTCTCTTCAGATTAGTAAAGTCCCTATCATATGGCTTGTTTTGTCGTATTCCTGTCTGGTAGGCCATAAGCAGAACCAAGTTGATTATGGCTATCAAATAGGGCTTTAGTGTGCTTGTCAACATAATATGCATAACAAGTAGTTTAAACTTGATTATTTGGCTGAAAGAATCTTACTAAAAACACTTCTTTGTCAGCTATTTCAGCCAAATAACTCTTACCAAATGGACCCTATCTTTGAAACTTATTTATTTTTATTAATATTATTAAAATCTTCTTAACTCTCCTTTCTTTCTCTTCCTTAAACTCTGATAATATAGGCCACCATACCTCGGGGGTTTCACGATAAATGCCCAGTTTCGGTCTCCTTTGTAGCAAGGCACGGGGGTGATAGGTTTTTATTGGATGCAGTACATTCTCTATATGCGTCTCTGCAGGAGCAGGCAGAATTAGCTGCACGGACAAAATGCTCTAGTACTACTATCAGTAAGGAAGTGTCAGCTGAGATGGCTAAAGAAAAGGTGTTTCATTAATAATTTAAACCCTATGGAATCACTTCAGTGTGACTGGCAAATGGATTAGAATAGGGGAACTCCCCCCCCCCCCCCCCCCCAATTATGTGACAGTAGTGGATTCTCTCCCTAGTTTTTGCATTACCACTTTTAAACCTTGAATCGTACCTAACTTGCTGTTTCTAGTCCCCTGTTGAAATTAAACTATAATTTAAAATGCAAATTGTTTAACCCTGTACTTTTCAAGACTATTAAGATAGTTACATTTTCGTAATCAATTAATGTCTCTTTATAAGATCAAAGCCACAAACACAGGCATAACCGAATTGTTTGAAAGTTTTAAATAGACAAAAAACTCAAGTTTTAATTTATTTAATTTTTTATGAAAAAAAATATTTTTTTGGTTTTAAATTGACATGGTTTTTCCATTTATCCTTCTCTCTAGAGTTTTTTAGTTTCTTGAATTTATGATACATTGTATTTGGAAGAAAGACGTCGATTTCTAACAATCTCGTATATAAAAGTTCACAAAGAGAGATTCTAGAGGCTAATAATAGGAATACCAAGAGTCCTACGAAGAGAAGGAGGGTTCAAATATGTTCTTAGTCCATGCAAATATAACATTATTTGTAACATCTCATGTGAACTGAATTCTTTGTTTTCCTGAAATTTATGTTGTTCTCGTTTTAGTTCATCTCAGTAACCCCACTTAAACTTTCTCCGTCAAATTTTTCAACTTTTTGGAGACTTAAAGTTGATTTAAGGCTAACTGGAATCACTCATCCACGTTTCCAATAATATATGTTTCTATGTTTATGAAATACACAGTATCAAATATTTCCTAAAAATAAAATGATGGGAAAAAGTAAGAGTGAGATTTTGTTAGTCATGTCAATTTTGTGGATATAAATGAGGTTGCTGGACAGTCAAAGAGAGACAAAAAAAGAAAATAACTTTAATTGCAGAGCGAGGAACAAGAAAATAATTATTGCTAGCTGAAAATCTGAAATGGAAAACATTATTTGCATGGACTTGAAACATATTTACAGCAAACATAAAATATGGCATGTAATTTTATAGGGAGGACCGTAATTCACCCCTTGGATAGCTTGTGGACACTGATAATAGATAATTGGGGGGACCAAGAGCGAAGAGTATCATTATTCCATTAAATAAAGCATCTTTAGATGGCTAGTGTAGTACTGTATCTAGGCCTGTTTCATAGTACCAGTCGCTTCTTTCCAAAGTGAAAGTTTAAGGTAGAGAGGTGCGTGCCTTTTGTAATGCTGTATAGGGAAACCAAGCGTTTAAAGAGAAACAGTGGCAGAGGGCGATTGGCTTCTATACAGAGGCTATCAAACTCAATGGCGATAATGGAACTTACTATAGTAACCGGGCTGCAGCATATCTGGAACTTGGAAGGTTTACTTCGTTTCTCATATCTCGATCAGTTTGTATATTAGCATACACTTCAAACAATTAAAACTTGATATCTTTTGTTGATATCTTCTATCCATTACATCCAGCATCATTCAAGCCGAAACAGATTGTACTAAAGCCATCGAACTTGATAAGAAGGTAATTTGGTCCTTATGCTCATTTATTATACTGCATGTGCACATTGAATGAGATTTTGAAATATAGAAATAAACACTGTGTACTAGAAGAAGCAATTCAATGTTAAAAAAACGTTGTACTCCTCCTATTAGGGTTAACCCATTGTATCTCTATATTAGCATTGTAATAGAACCCTTGAGTTGTACTCTACTTCCTCCTCAAAAATAGTCCCTTTTGACCAAAATAACTTTTCAATTTTGGTAAGGTGCAACTGTACAACTATCATAAATCTCAAACCTGACTTATTCTGTAATGTTATCTTGGTTTAACTTAATGTCATATGATGTTTGTCTTTGATTAATTTGATTTAAGTTACATGAAATGTTAGCTTCATTTGATTAACCTTTTTCAGTAAAAGCTGTGGGCGGAGGCGTACAATTTAACTTGGTATGAGATGTTCGCTGGATATTCCAAAAATTATAACCCTATTCTTTTTAGTTCGTATTCATGATTATTCATGTTGAAATTTTCGGCGTTGAGGTTCTAAAAAATTCTCTCAGTTAAAGATGTTTATGCATTCCTTGGCTGTGGCCTGTGGGTTTTACTGTTATGGTCATGTACCTGAGTGACTATATATAGAACTATTACAAGTCTGCATCTTCTATGTTGGCACTTCTTTAGTAGAAGAGAGGGGAAAGTATTACATTGTTTTTTCCTTTTCCTCTGCCCACATGCAGAATGTAAAAGCATACTTTAGGAGGGGAATAGCGCGAGAAATGCTTGGCTACTATAACCAGGCCATAGAAGGTAAACAGTCTTATTTTCATCATCCAATTATTATTATGTTCTTAATTAAAGCCCTTCCACTGTTTAACTGCTCCTGCTGTTGAAGATGGCTCACTCGCATTTCTTATTCTTTGACCAGTTAATCACTAGGGAGTTGGGGGTGGATAAAAAAGTAAAAAACTACCAAACTGTAACTGACTGACGAATCGTACCAACACTGAAACTGATCATAACTGATTTCTGGAACAGTTCGATTAACTTTTTGAAGTTCAGGCTTTGAAAGTGACTGAACTGACCAACTGTCAAAGACCAAACAAACTATAAAGACGATCGGAACTGATTTAAGCTATTTTTTCCAGTTCCTGATTTACAATGTTCAAAATTAAACAAACCAATATCCCTACTTTAAGGATTTATTGTTGGTTAGAAATGTTCTTCATTTTGGTCTTGTAATATGGATTGCAGATTTCAGATATGCACTGGTGCTTGAGCCAACCAACAAGAGAGCAGCCCAGTCTGCGGAGAGGCTGACAAAGCTGTTCCAGTAGGGGGAGGGGGGGGGAGGGGGAGGAGGTGCTTTGTTATTAGAGGAACAGAATTGGTGGCAGTTGATAGTTGGTTGATACATTCTTATGTTTGCCGATGAGAGGATAGATACCCTTGCAAGCAACGTGGAAGTTCCGGAGCGATTCAGCATTAGTTTTTGCAGTTCTATATCTTTCTTGATCAGATGAGTTTGTAATTATAGTGCAATTTTGGGCTCAATGCTTTGGTTTGAGCTTTTGAACTGCATGGATTATCGAAAGAACTTTTGATTTTAAGCCTTCTAACGCAAGCTTTAAATTGGTTGCTCTTTAAGCGATAATAATAATTTTGGATGTAGACATTATTCGCCTTTGAAGGTGAAATGGCCTTTACTTTAGTGTATAGATCATGCCTGCAGAAGTGTGATGTGGAATGAGACTTATCATTACTCATGTAATGACTTGAAACTCTAATAGTGGTGTGGTACTGTGGTGTACCTGGTTTTGTTCATGCTCAGGAGCACTTGTTTGGGAGGGAAGTAGTGAAAAAAGAGGAGAGTTAATAAGTGTTGGGATGTGTTAAAGGATTATATTCCCTACACTTCAATTTGAGGTGCATTGGAGTGTTGACAGTATTACCTATGGTAACGTAAAAACTCAACCCGTCTTTCAAATTCCCATGTGCCATTCGTCTTTCGTTCACAAAATACCTAGTCTCTTTTGCTCACATCGGATGCACAGACGTGCACAAGTATTTTTTAATTATTTTTGAACATGCGAATTTCACATATACTTGGTGTTATAAATTCATTACTTTATAGTTTATACACCGAGGAATAATTGCTTAGTACTAATCTAACTATTTTTTGGTGATTATGTTTTTTTAGGGGTGGTGATTATGATTTTATTCAACTAAATTTTACTTGATTTTATTGAACTAAAATTTATCATATTTAATTGATGTAAAATGTGAAATACATTGTGTTCCAATTTTTTAATTTTGGAACGTTTTGTAGAACAACCAAAGCTTGATCACAACGATGGCCGATAGAGCAAGAGTTTGAAACTTTGTCTGAGTCTAGCACTCTCATCCAAAATATATTTATTTTTACATTTCAATATTATTCAATATAACTTTCATTGAACATTAGTTTTAATCAATCTCCTAGACCTTTGTTACATTTTGCATCTGATAATATTACATTTTTCATCCTTGTGGAGGCGATGTTAGCCTTGATGTGCTATGTTTTATGGCTTCCATATGTTTTTGTTAACAAATAATATATTTAATATCACAGGTATCCTTTTGAGTTTGTGCACTTGAATAGGAATCCATTTATCCTTTTGAAATTGATTTCAAAGAAATTGATTTCGGCAATTAGACTATTTCTTGTAGATGTGTATGAGTACCCCATGCATCAATGCATGAGAGTAAGCTCTAATGGAAACACATTTTTGAAAAACAAATTGAAAACCGAGATCACTTTGGACTTTAGTTCGAATGATGCAACCAACGGAAGCGCAATAACTGTAGATGGATCCGTTGAGAAATTCTATTTACAACCACACAATTTCTATTCACACCCACAATAATTAATTTTAATAAACAAAATTACTCAAAAAATCGAATTTGCCCACTCATCTTGGAATTTATATAATTATAATCTTAATGGAAATTACTTTATCGACGGATGTTCTCATCTTGGAATAAGCACGGAATTGTTATCACGAAGCAATATATTATCATTCCTTATTTCAACTGAACCACTGTACTGCATTAGTTTGCTCTTCAAACCTTTTAATCTTTGTTTCTTGAGAATTCATAAATAAATCATGATTATCCCGGATACTCTCAAGAGTGGCAGAGAAGCTGTTAAAGGCAACAGATGCGAGACTTGTCATTGAGATGGTTCAATCTTGAGGGCAAAATCATTTGGTGACAATGAGTAAAAACGGTTTTTTTTTTGAAAAAGATTAAACATCCGCACTTACATTTCCTGTCTAATCAGTAATCACCCCTTTGATGGAATCTTCTTCACTTCTAGATGGTTGTTCCGAACAGTGACGAACACATGTCCATCCCTGGCAGCGGCGGGAAAGTCCTCATATCCTCTTTTGGGATGTCGTGCTCTTTTGATGGCTCATCCGACTTTGCTTGGACGGGCAAGCATGCGAGATAGAAGGGTATTATTCACTCAAAAATGCTTAGGTAGAAAGGTAAATTTGTCTGTGTAGTATTTACTTATTGCTGAGGTAGAAGGGTAAATAATACGCAAATAACCTAGGGGGACTTCCATTCCCTCAATAACCTAGGAAATGGAAGTCTTACTAGGTTATCTGCGTACTATTTACTGATCGAATGGAAGTCCTACTAGATTATCTGTGTATTATTTACTTACTAATGAGGTAGAAGAGTAAATTTGTCTTTTAAAATAAAACATTAACCACATAAAACACTTCTACACGTATGTGGAAGTGCAAACGGCCCATCTTTTTAAAATGCTCCATATCTCATTCTTTATGCTCTATGATGATATCTTTCTACTCTTCGGTGACATCTCCTTCAAGAACGACAGCCTTTGCACTCCTCTTTCCTTCTTTCACCGGTAGAATCTGGTGCTTCATCTTCTTGAGTTCTTTCATTCTTTCAACCTTTTGCCGCGGTCTTCTTTTCTTCTTCTCATTATTCATCTTCTATGTAACTAAAGAGTATGTCTAAATAATTTAGGATTTATGAGTGTTAAGACTTGAGATGTTTACCACCTTCATTAGCATATATCATACGTTTTGAATTCAAAATGTGTATGTAATGTATTATATATATGCTTCCAATAGTTACTTATCTATTATATTTGAAAGTAGTCCAACTAGCGGTCATTCCGCTATCTGCTATAGCGCTTTTGGGGCTGGCCGCTACGCTCTACTACGCTCCGCTATATGGGATTGACAACATTGGTACACACACCAAACAATAACATAGCTGCCACGCTCCCACACAACACAGGGGTGAATATACTAATAAGAACTAATTACAAATGATTAGGGGTGGTTCGGTACGGTATACCGAAGATTTTATCTCATACCTTTACCATACCGTAAACTTTCGGTATGCAAAAATACATACCGTTACCATACCTAAATTTCGGTATACCTTGTTTCGGTATACCAAAATTTCAATATGGTAAGCTACGATATCGGTAAATTATCATGATTTAATATAAAATTATTATATATCAAATGAAATATAGAAAATCAGTGTTAATAGTGATATACTAAAATTATTAATGAAATTAATTATAAAATACCAATGATAACCTATTTGTGTTCTATTCAACTTTGAACAAAAAAAATATTATAAATATGTACGGATACTTCAACCCATGATATATGAAGATAACAACACATTCTACTAAAATAATAATTTAAACAACATAAATACATTTGAAATAACATCGATCTCCAACAAAAAGTATAAATAATTCAAGAAACATGGATATAAAGTCATTATCCTTGAATTAATGTTGTGTTTTCTAGTTATTTTTATAATTTTAAAGAAATTATTGGCTTGGAATTACGGTATGACGGTATAACAGTATACCATTTATTTCCAAAATATATACCGATACCATAACGAAGTAATTCGGTACGGTATCATACCGTACCAAAAGTGTCGGTATACCAAACAATTCGGTAAATTCGGTATTTTTCGATATGGTAAGTCCGGTATACCGAAATTTCGGTATTTTTCCCCACCCCTACAAATGATAGAGCTTTTATACAAAATTTATAACTTCTGATAGAGTTCTCGAGCAGAATTTACAAAAAAGAATCAGAGAAATCCATAAGCCTCAGCTTCCTTCTTTCCTTAGTTCCTTATCAAATAGCGGTTTACAATGTTTAAGATAGAAGAAACAAAAGAAACCTTACCCATCCATTTCATCACCAGCAAAAAGTTCTAAGAGCTGTTCATCTGTCCACTCTGGGTATTGAGTCATTGAAACCACTGGCTGAGCTTTGCACACAACTTTATCTGTTTCCTTAAACTCTTGCTGACTAGCATGCATTGGGCGATGAACTTCCCCGGTTTTCTGAGATTCTCCCAGGTGGTTCTTCGGCGAGCTTTCTGTAGTTTTATTGGCCACCCCTGACTGTTTAACATGGGTAGTCGTCATTTTTATGATTTCTTCAATTCCTTTCACAGTTCCTTCTCTAAAATTCACAGATTCCTTCTCAACAACAAGTTGTGTCATACATTGTAGTGTGTTGTTACATGGAAATGCATCATCCTCATCCATTTCTCCCACATCTGCAAATTTTTCTAACATTTATTTAGCTGAGCATGAATTTCAAAATATTTTTAGAGATAATAATCCTGAAAATAGTTCTCTCTGAATATACTATCGTACAACACAAGGCTCTGTTAGTTTACATGATTTCCTATATTTAGTAAGGAAAACATTCTCCATAACAGATTTAAAAACATAGACTTCTGTGGAAAAAGCGGGAAGCATTTAGGGAAAAAAGATTTGTGTGTGAAACACTCCGTACATTATTCTCCCTCCGTATTTTAAAGTTTGCTACACTTTACTTTTTGGGATGTATTTGAAAGTTCGATACACTTTCCCTTTTTGGTAAGTTTTTCCTTTAAAAATACACAACTATCTTTACTTTTTCTACATTTTATCTTCTCTTTCATCTTTTACACACTCTCTCCTACTTTTTCTACACTATTCATTACCCCTAATATTTCATTCTTGAATAATGTGCCCAATGCTATTGTAGTGAACTGATAAATACGGAGGGAGTATTACATATCGAATACTTTTATTTTTAGAAAAACATTTTCTGGGGAAAAAATATTTCCATGAAACATTTTTCCACCACAAGTTATTTTCCATAAAACAAACAATGCTTATGATGACATAGTTGAATTTCTACAAATATATGCCCACCTACGCACGTATCATCACATTTCTCAGCATTTGTTGGTAGACAATCACTATCCTCGGGGAACACCTAAACAATAGAACCATTTCAGATCCAAGTCCAATGAGAGGTCTAATGAAAAGTTGGAGATCTGTGTTGTACTATTTCAGGTTCACAATACATTTTGTTCTACTGGAATTTTCCATCTAAAAACTATGCGTCATTTTATAAAATGAAGAGAGTATTTCATGCCATATTTTTGTATTTTCCCCTTTTGTATGACCCCTGACAAAACCAATCTTTTAGGCTAATTAAATGTTAGTAAAAGGGTAATATCATAAAGTTTTTCTCACATTAATAACTCCTCAACTTGCATGCTTTCTTCCAAATTCCAGAATGACACTTATTATGAGTTGGAAGGGAGTATAGACTAGAAAGTACAACTCTGAGTGAACTCTCAAAACAGACTATTAGATTACACAGATGCTTCAGAAAGACAGAAACTTAGAGTATGTCATCTTAAAGCAGTGAGAACAATAAGAAACACCTTTTCC